AGAACCCTGACCAAAAGGAGGACCAACCAAGGATTACAATTCATACATGATATGCTTGCCTGCACCTCCTTCTTCTTCAATCCCGGTGGCAGCAACTCGTGCTCGGTCTCCAGCCAAGAAAAGGCTGCCTCATCATCATCTCGCTAAATCTAGATCTCAACCACACGCTGCTAAATAATTTATAGTGCGAGCAAGCCTCTTTGAATTTCGTGAGGCTGGGCTGCTTCATGCCGAAATTCGCATACAAACTCTGCAAAATCACATGGGCTTCATGCACGGCGTCTTCGGACATGTACTCCCTGGCCGGCAGGCAGTCGTGGTCCTGAAACCATGCCATATGTTTCATGAGTACATGTCCTGTATACACCGGTCACATGTGTATGCAGGCCAAAGGACATTACTGCGCCGAAGTGCTGAAGCCAGTGAATGCCCACCGTCTTGCTTGGACAGCATCCATTCGTGCAAAAGATCTTGCAGAAGCAGCAGCCTCACATATAATAAGATCGATCAACTCGTCAAAATATTCTATACACACACATGGTACTCCTAAGCATATGCATGATTCCATATGCCCAGCAGCTCACGAAAATCCTCGACGACTTCATTATCAGGCTCCGCTGCAGGCTCGCCCATGTCGTCAGCTAGAGCTTTAAAGCAAAATGCTACTGCGCAGCTGCATGCACTGACGGGACACAGCGCATGCACCACACACACACACACACACGTGCACATGCACACGCATCAAGATCATGTAGCGGTGCAGCTGCATGCAGAGCACATGTACATGCACAGCACACAGCAAGCGATGCATATGGAAGGGCGCACCTCTCGTTCGCCCACGGAGGCTCACCAGGCGAGAGGCTTTCCGCATTTAACATCATGCACCATGCCATGATCGATCATAGCACCGCACACTGGAAGATCTCTAGAAGGCATGCATGCGAACCCACTCGAAGATATGCAACCTCATGAATATATCTGACATTGCCGGTACCACCTCCGATCCTGTACTCTAACATGCACACTCGGCACACACACACACAGACAAAGGTATGTAAACATATATATATATATTATAATATATATATATATATATATGCATATATATATATGTATATATATATATATATATATGTATATACGCAGGACAATATTCATGCACATGATATCGAGAACCAGTACACCTTTCGGAATGCATACACACCCAATATCCATACAGCTACTTTCGAATTCGGGAATTATAAGGTGGTGTTAAGGTTTTTTCTCACTAGGTGAAACATCGACTAGTCTCAGGCATCAGCATATCTACAGATCGAACTTTAAGGTGCTGTTAAGGTTTTTTTTACTCACTGGGTGAGACTTCAAATCAACCAAGCCAAGGCATCAACAAACATTAATCTTTGAAATGGCCTTGCCGGGGGGGTCTAGGAACCGGTTCCTGGAACCAGGGGGTTGTCGGCCATGACCCCAACTGTTGGGTACATGGCCCATGACCCCAACTGTTGGGTACACGGAAGCCCTGGGGGAGTTTAAGGCAGAACTAACACCGCAAGGTGCTTCTTTTCTCGACGGCTTGAGCCAATGTCATGCGTATATGTACATGCTATGTGAAACATGCTACGTGGCACCTACAAATCTAATCACCCCTCCTAAGCCAGGTGGTCGCATTGACCCATTGGCTTACACGAGCCGCTTGGCAGCGCCCAGCATGAAAACGTAGTCCCATGCTCTTGAGGTGTTTCAGCATTGCCACTTCAGGCATTGGCTTCGTACAGATGTCGCTGCAATTTTTCTCTGTACCAACGCGCTCTAGTTCCAGAGCCCGCGTTGCAACTTTCTCCTGTACCCATAAGTACCTCGTTTGAGTTGAGTAGTGCCTCTGGCCGCTGAGGAATCTGACCGCATTCGTAGTCCGACCTTCAGTCCCCAGTCTTCCAGCATCGCCTGCAGAGATAGTCCTATGGACCCTGCTATGACGATTGCGTAGAACTCACTTTCCCCGCTCGACAGGGATATGGTACTTTGCACATTCGAAGAGTGCTTGACACAGTGAGATCCAAGCATTGTCACGAGTCCTGTTGTGAACCTCCGCGTGATAAGACATCCGGCGTGGTCGGAGTCGCAGTACATCACGATCTCTTTGCTCATACGCTGTGGATGGTACTCATAGATCAGCCGTGGGTTGCCGCGCAAGTAGCGGACTAACCTCTTCAAGTCGGCCCATGCGAACTCAGCAGGTTCCTTCATGTGCCTTGCCAAGCTCTTCGTTGCTTCAGCAATATCCGGGCGATCCTGCGCTAGGAATGCCGCCCGCATCGTGTGTGAACGATACTGCTTTGCAAGCTCGGCGTTTAACGGCTGTGACTCCAGCATTGCTTTCAGGTCGCTGCCTTTCTTCTTTTCTGCTGGTGTCTTTGCTGCCTTTGCAGTCTCCATTCCAAGGTCACGGATTAGCGCCTCGGCGTGCCTTGGGTCCGCCTCATGTGTGACAGTTCCCGTCGTACGGTCATAGGTCACGACCCGGTTCAGAACAGTCATGCTGTCCTTCTCGCATCCAGGTCCTATGTGCCCATCGCACTTGAACTCGTACTCTTCAGACAGGATCTTGTCTACAAAGCGGTGACCGTCCTCGTCCGCGAGGACAAGGAAGTCATCCCCATGTACTAGAAGTCTCACGTCCATCGTGTCGTGATAGAAAGTACAAGGGTATGCCTTTCCGGTACGGAAACCGTGTTTGCGCAGAAGTGTAGTGTACGACCTCTGCCAGACTGCCGAAGCATCCCCGGTGCCGTACATCGTACGCTTCAGTAGGCCGCATTTGCCGTGCTCTTCGTCTCCTTCCGGGAGTGTGACAAAGACGCGGCGTTCAGCTTTGCCATAGAAATGCGCACGTGAGATATCGGTCAATTTCAAGGTCAGTTGCTTCCCAGAAGCTGACCTCTTCATGCTCGTGAGCAGAGAACACAGGATCTTCAATCCCTCCAAAGGTGGCATGGAGGAGAACAAAGCGTAGTCTGGTATAAGTGCCGCTTGTCCTTGGCTCTTGACCTCGCGCACTACCAACCGAGACCTAAAGTTCTCCTTGATGTCATCGGGCGCACGCCCTGTTTCTGCCCAGCACACGCTCTCATCGACTTTCTCATACACTCCTTGCTTTTTCACCCAAGCTAGTTCAGAGGCTCTTGCCTCTGCAACCTTTCCTGGGTCCAACTGTGCCCCCGTGTTTGCGTCTATGACAGGCTCCTCACGTAGAGTTCGCCTGCCTTCGGAAGCGACTCAGGGATCTGGTCCCCCGACGTGTCCTACCTCCCTCATCTCTCCATCTAGGACCAGTTGTGCTCTGACTTCTGCCAGCACTGCCCTTTCGAGCTTCGGAGGGTACTCGGCTTTTGCCTGTACGATCCCCTCCTCGAAGGAAAGCTTTAAACTGTTCCATACCTTCGTAGAGTCCTCGCAGAGCTTCTCTAGGGCCTTCGCGACCGTCGCCGAATTAGTAATCCAGCGGGCGCGCTTCTTGCCCGATTGCCTTGCGATGAGCTTCCCGCTCTCGTTCACTTTCCACTTGCACATCGGCCCGTCAACCAAGTGTGCGTTCATCCTTTGAGCAAGCTCGTGCTCCCAGGATTTCGCAGTTTCGGCTTTACGCGCTCCAACTTTTCGAAGAAACGCAGGTGTTCGGCTTGTCGGAACATTCGCGCCTCCAGGTCCATCGGAAGGATGATGCCTTCATTCATTGTGCTCCAGGGCACAGCTGCGTTTCCATTCCTTCCCAGCTTCCGAACCATAGAGTTGATAGCCTTCGCCTCGGCTGGGCTACACTTGCTCGAACATCCTAGTGATCAGCCCGATCTGGGCATCCTCACCACTAGGCGGCGGATTCGCCGCTGCGTCGTGCATCTCTGCATCGGCTTGCGCTTGGCTACGAGAGTGGTCAAGACCCGGTCCTGCGGAACCGCTTGCACCTCCGTAGAGGTTGGCTCCGACAACCTCCACATCTGGACCATCGGTGGGGCCTCGCGGTGGCTCCTCCCGATTCAAGTCCTCGACGTCCTTGGAAGCTACTCGCTTCCGCTGGGCTCTGGCCTCTTGAGGTGACTCGACCTCCATTGGCCTCGACAGCGGTGCGCCCGCAGCCTCTTCCGCTGCTACTTCCATGGCGTCGCGCGCAAGTCTTCCTTCCAACGCAGGTTGGTCTCTCTTGACTCTTCTCCCGAAGTCCTTCTCGAGCCTCTCCTGGGCTCTCTTTATTCTCTCCTTTCCTTCTTCAGTTTCCTGCAGCTTTCTCTGAACTCTCATACGGCATTCTTCGTTGTGCGCTCGTTGCGGGAGACCCATCAACTGCGCATCGCACCCAGGACACTGGGGTGTATAGCCGCTAGCCGTAGAGCTCGATGCCGGACTTCATGACGTACAGGTTCCGTGCCTTGAAGTCTCGCTGTTGAGCTGCGGGTTGCTCGCCTTCGAGCGCCGGCATGCCGACCCGATTGGGCGGCGCACGCTCTTGTGGACCGGTCATCCTCCAAGGTAACCCGCGTAGTTCAACGAAACCCTCGGTAGGCCACTTATCCTCCTCGGGCCTCCGGGGCCACGAGGTGTGGCATGACATCATCTTCCTGCTTGTCTTTGCCTAAGAAGAAGTAATCCATGTGTAGTGTCGGCAACGAGGTCTCGAGCTCGGCCCGTCGAACCTTGTAGTGTGGATTGATCATCTTCCGTGCCCTCTGGCAATGAACACACCAGGAACGGTGTACTGCATGCCCCGAGGCTTCATGCTGTGCGATCTGGTCGGCTGTGGGTTGGTTTGGACTCTTCGGCACCACAGCCCTTTGCTGCTCTTCACCTGGAGCCTCTGGCTTCTCGGCGAACCGATCGTCACCAGCATCCTCTTGCCTCTGGCTCGGCTGCTGCTGTTGTTGCTGCTGTGCTAAGGCGCAACGCTCTGAAGAGGAAGCTTGGGTCCGAGTGGGACCCGGGCCACAAGAAGCGGCGCAAGCAGCGTCACCAGGAGGAGCAAGAAGAAGAGGGGCCACGACGACTACCGCGACCCCCGGGACGATGATCCCGAAGAACCGGAAGGAACGGGTGACGGAGCGGTACACCAATCGGTGTACAGCTTTGAGACGGTGGTGGACGCTGCCAGCCTGAGCGCTTCGCCAGGCGCGGCAGCAGTGGCCGCCGCCGAGGTAAACTTCGATACGGGAGCAGCCGTGACCGTGCTGCCCGAGAGGTACGTGACGCAGCCAAGGGACAACGGTGTCCGCTACAAGACGGCGTCCGGTGAGGCGCTAAAGGACCAAGGAAAGGCCGAGGTCACTGGCACTTTGCCGGGAGGCCGCGGGGCCCCACGATCACCGGCCGAGGGGCCGGGGTCCGGGTGTTGCTATCCGGTGCCCAGGCGTGCAAGACGCACTTTGCGTGGATCCTGCACGGAACAGGGGGACTTTTGGTTCGCAAGGAGAGTGCTTTCGCCAAGGAGGCCGACGAGCTTTTGCGCAAGTTGGCGTGGAAACACAAAGGTGTTGCAACAAAGACGCAGGTGAAGAACGGCATCTATGTGTTTCCGCTTGAGGACGGAAAGAAAGGAGGACTGAAGGGCGAGAGTAGAGGCCAAGACGGCCTGGGTTTTACGGGGCAACCGTAGGTGTAAGGCCCTCAGGGCTTAGCGTTTCACCCCTAGACGAAGAGGCTGAGATGTTGAGGAAGCCGCCAAAAGGAGAGCGGCCGCAAAGGCAACGCTTAAGGTGTTGTCTGAGCAAGACAAGAAGAGGAGAAAGAGAGAGAGAGGAGAGAGTGGACAGAAGGGTCTCGGCGTTCGCAGAGTAATCTCTCACGCTCCTTTTCGTAGAGCTCCCTCGTCGTTCTCATCGACCCTATTGCTGGTGCGCTCGGCCCTCGTGAGGGGCCTGCACTCGCACGATGCCCTCGGCGTCGATCACCTCCGTGTCGACGTCGGCGTCCTCCTGCTGGTTGTCGACGAAGTGCTTGTCCTTGAGCTTCCGGTCGTGGCGCGCGTGCCAGCGCTTGTCGGCCTTGATGAGCGCTCTCGCGCTCGCTCGCCGACCCCGCTTCTGCGGTGCACCTGGGCTCGCGCCACGCTTTCCAGTGGGAAGTGCCGCCAGCCACCGCACGTTTGGGTGCTCGGTTTCGGCGGCGGCGTCTTAGGCTCGAGGCGGCGTCTTCGGCGGAGTCTTCGGCGCTGTGGGCTTCGGAGCCCTTTCTCTCTTCTTTCTCTTCTTTCTCAAGCGCTCCCACGTAAAGGTTCTTGGTCTCTGCTTCCTGCCAGCCTTCCTCCCAGTCTTCTCCCCAGTCTCCGTCCTCCCAGCCTTCGCCTTCTTCCTCTCCTTCGTGCTCCTGTTGTTCACCTGTTGCCTCTTCACCTTCTACGTTTCCTACTTGTTTCCTGGGCTTTCCGCCCTTCTTTCCCTTGTTTCCTCCTTTCTTGCCTTTGTTTCCTTTCTTTCCTTTGTTTCCTCCAAGTTCCTGCATCACTTGCTCTGCAGTCACCTGTGCTCCAGCTGCCGTAGTGGATCCGCTCATCGCAACCGATGAAGAACTCGGCGGCGAAACTCACGACTCTGGATCAGAGTCTGCAGGCGCTGACCCAACAGACCCCAAATCCTCTGAAGGCGCCTAATCCGATGAAGCAACCGGATCAGGCGAGTGCAACGGTCAACGGCCGGGGCTTGCACCACAGTAAAGCCTTCGTCCTCACTACCAGCTGTGTCGTTACCAGTAGCACGTCTATCGTCCATTCAAACCGGCAGCTCCGCTACCATGAACGGAGTTTAAGGCAGAACTAACACCGCAAGGTGCTTCTTTTCTCGACGGCTTGAGCCAATGTCATGCGTATATGTACATGCTATGTGAAACATGCTACGTGGCACCTACAAATCTAATCAGTAGCACACACCTCGCTTACTTTACTGAGGCAACCACACATTTCGTTTGGTCGCAAAACACTTGCAGGGTTCTTTCCTTTCTCTCTCGCTGAGAACTGTCGTTAGCTTGGTGAAACTCTGCCTACACTCACTTCTCTGCATTCTTGATGCACTTGAGGTAGGGCTTACGACTGTGCACGGGCTTCCGTAGAGTCCGGCGTTCCAGGTTCCACTCTCGCCCGGCTCTTTCCATTGCTTCTTCATACCGTTGTGTTATGTAGTCCGGTACGATACGCTGTCCCATTTCTTCCAGTGAGACTTGATCCTCATACATCCTCTCTGCTTCTTCTCCAGATACAACCCTTCTTCCTGTAGCGAGATCCTCTTCGCTTATGATGGGCATACGCACTCCTGGGGCGTTGTTGGTATTCACCCCGGCTTGGTCTTCATACGTGCTTTCTTGGATTCCTTGTCCAATCGTTCCTTCGACTGCTGCTCTTCCTCGGCTTGTAGCTTGTCCTCTTCTCGGCGGCATATACTCATACCGTTCTCCTGCATAGCGGCTTTCATTAGAGCTTCTTGTCCTTCGTCGCATTCCACCTTAGACGTTCCTTTGCGTCCTTCTGACGGTGGTGTGTCTTGGCTTCGGTCTCCTGAGGAATTTGCATTCCATTCGTGACTTTCCTCAGCTTCAAGATTCTTGTCATAGGTCTCCTTCCACCTGTTCGTGGCATAGTTCTGGATACAGGTTTCACATGAACACCAATGATGACCAACTTTTCTTCTCGCACACCGTTGCTCTCCACACCAGTAGCACATACGGTGGCATACGACAAATGGTCCTTCTTCTCCTGCCACTTCAGTAACTTCCCATTCATCTGGTGGCTGTTTCGGACTCTGGCATACTTCTTCCTTTCCTAGGCTTGCGCGAAAGGTTTCTGGGCTTCTGTCTTGCCTCGGGATAGCATACAAAACAACACGACGAGGCTCCCCTTGAACATGGTGGCATGTTTCTCGGTGCGATTCTGACTGCGCGAGTGAATCTTCACCATACCACTTCGGTACACTTTCATGATCTGCTTTACCACTTGCCAGATGTGTGGCATAGCGAGTAGCGATACCGTGATCACCATGCACACCTCAAACTTCGTATACTTCCCGTCTCCAGGTCAGCCTAATGAGGTTCTTCACTTGATTGCTTCCAACATACTCCTTCAACTTCTTTTCTTGTTCATGTTTTTTCACACTCATCCTCACCAGTACGAACAAGTTCTCCATCTTCCGAATACTCCACTTGAGATAGGAAATACAAGAGAAATGCTCTTCGGGCATCTGTCAATTTCTTAGTGTTCAAATCAGCAACGTTCAATGCTGTCTTCACTGTTCCAGGTTTTACGATACTGTCTCGAACCCAATCCTGCAACTGACATAGCCTTACGTCCACATGTTTCAGGCGTCCAACTCCTCTTCTCTGAGACCACTGCCTTGCAGAACTAGAGTCACAACGGACGTCCACACGAACTGCTTCTTCTGTCAAAATCGAAACAGACGTCCTACAAGTATAGCTTCTCCACAAGTTCCACTGGGCGCATACAACTCTGATGAAGATGTGGCTTTCTGTGTTCTCGAAAAACTGAGTACTTGGATATGCAAGGGTTTCGGATAACCCTTAAACCTCACTCACGCACAGCCCAGGCTAACTTTTATGCCTCGCTTGAGCAACCGAAGGGGCTGCAGCATCCGCTGGGGCAAGAATAGGCTATACATCCTAACACCCCTCCATGGCCCACTCCATTTGGAGTTGGACACACGTAGGATGTGCTTGGTGGGATCAAAAATCAACCACCGCAGTTGCCGCAGGCTGTATAGCCCCTGTTCTGGGCTTCCTGCCTGCTGTACTGTACAATGCCACGGGGATTGTTCCTCCTGGCATACCGAAGATCACCACAGGTTTCCTTGTGGTACCTTCCACCTTTACTCGTCACAAAAACAACTTCACGCTGTCGTAGCCAGCTCTTCCGCGAGGCTTCTGTTGTTCAGTTTCTCTCGGCGCCCTGCTCTACCAGTGCTGCTGCTGGCCTCCTCTGTGTAAGGCCTTCACGGCCACACGGTGACGCAGGTGCGGGGCTGGCCGCGACCTGCACTGTACCACCCGTCTGTGTCGACGAGTTCATTCTAGGGCCGCAGAGCCTGGCAACCTTCCTTGCCACCTGAACCAGCCCGATCAGGGCCACGAGGTGTACAATGAGCATGTACACCCAGAAGCCTGCAGCATCA